CCACTAGTTGAACTTAAAATTTCAATTTCCACTGGATTCTTGTCAGTGGAAATTGAAATTTTAAACTCAACTAGTGAAGATTGAAATTTTAATTTCCACTAGTGTAATTTTAAATTCCACTGAATTTTAATTTCCACTGTAACATATATAGAAGAAAAGTACTGTTACGTTCATTATGTATTACGTTTGTTACGTACCTTTAAGTTCTTTTCTCTTTCTTTTCTGATGTGTATTCGTGTACTCATTATTCGGATATGTGTTACTCGTACATAAATGTTGCTATATTAGAGTTTTCTCTTTTAGTGTATCTTTATGTTTTTCTTGATGTTGCATGTAGATATGAGGATACATATAGAAAAGAAAAAGTGATCTGTATGCGACATCAAAAAAAAGATCAGGATACGCTAAAAGAGAAAACTGTATTGAATAACGAATAATCATTCGTTCCGTTCTGTCGAAGTTTACGGCCCTTCTCTAGCCATAAGTAGAAAAGACGCGCATTTAATAGTAATTCTAAGTGCTTTTCATTTCTTATTGAGCAGTTACTCAATAAAGAATAAAAACTGTATTTTCTGGCGAAGCTGAGTGGTTGGTGGCCACATATCTCAAAAACGAAACGGTACCTATTTTTGCTAGAAAACCTCAACACATTGCCGTACATTTTATCTCTCAGATGGAATAAAAAGTAGAAATGGATGGATACTCCCTAATTAATTTCTATTTAAGTTGTTAATTTGGGCGATTTTACATTTAACTCATAAGTGAAATTTTCTATTAGTAGATCGACATTTGGACTAAAAGATAAAGTTTATTCTCTTTCATTTCTTTCATTAGAGAAAATATATAATTAGCTTTAGATTAATTGAATCGGATTGCGAAACTGAAAATACAAAACAAAAATTTGTTCCATTCTGTATTGACTTTTCTCTTTCTTTCTGTTTCTACAAAATAAGAGAAAAAAGAAGAAGAGAAAGGATCTATATGTACACGGAGAGAACTAAACACGTAGGATATACTCTACATCTACGTTCTGTGCTTTCGATTATTTTTGACGGTTTCGCTCATAACGTGTAAAATTAAATGATGCTGATTTCGCATTATATTTGAGTCATGTTAGGAATTTGAGATATGATCCTTATAGCTGTATTCGTTCCATTTGTCCTACTAATTGGTGTGGTCTGCTGTTTACGATTGTTCAGACCGTATCCAACAATGATTTACATGAAGAAGACTGATCAAAATCGACAGATCTTGGAGGAATGCCCGACCATGGGACAGTATCGTCCTTCGTTTTGGGCATTTAATGGTCACCTACAAACCATTCTGAGTGATAAATTTCGCATAGTTCCACCTATGAGTTTCACGCGTATCTTACTGCCAGTGGCGCATGAAGGTGGAATAGCGATAGACTGGCATACAAGACCTATGCGAAATCAACCTGTTATGCTCATTATTCACGGTCTTATGGGAGGATCTCATACAGCTTACATTAGATGGATGATAAAATATGCACATACGAGACTGAACTTATGTTGTGTTGTTTTGCATGCAAGAGGATGTGGAAATACGAAGCTGACTTCACCAAGAATATTTAGCGGGGCTTATACGGCTGATATACACGGGACTATCTAGTACATACGGACGATAATTGGAGACAATACTCCGTTATTTGCTGTCGGTAAATATTTTATCTTCTGATGTGTGAGGAAACTACCACATTTTGACACCTATGGAATTAGTGATGTGTGTTTTAGGTTATTCATACGGAGCTGGAACACTAATAAAATATCTCGGTGAACAAGCTGATCACTGTCGGTTAACAGCTGCAATTAGTCTATGTGCGAGCTATGATTATATTGCAACGACGAATGGCCTGGAAAAATGGTTTAATTTGAGACTTTACAATAAAGCATTAACTGAAACTTTACTCGGTTATCTCAGAACTCATGAAAGTCAGTTGAAAGACACGACATATTTAAATCTAACTAACGTTTATAGGGCTCGTACGATCCGTGAATTTGATATTGCAACAGCAGTACCACTGTTTGGCTATGAAGATGTCCTTGACTATTATAAAGAATGCAGCTCAGGTCCGTGGATTCAACATATCAGAATACCAACTCTGATTTCATCGACTATTGACGATCCCATTTGCGTTATTGAAGGGCTCCCTTTATCAGCAGTAAGAAAAAATGAACATGTCATTGCTGTACTCACAAAAGAAGGCGGGCATGTTGGCTGGTTAGAAGGATGGTGGCCAAGAAAATATACTTGGGAAAATAGAGTTGTGGTAGAATATATTAGAATAATAATGAAAAAAATCCACTATGAGTGGAATATACATAGTGATCGAAATGCTGAAGAACTATCTGTTGAATATTCGGTGGATACGTTTGAAATTACATTATAAGATGCATATTTTTGAATAATTTTTAACTCATTTGTGAATAAATTAGGTGTTTCTAGACTTGATGAATTACATATGAATTTATGAAGGAATAATTAGCTAATATGGTAGAAAATTGTGAAACTAATTCAGATCTTCTTCGCACACCCAAGCAGAAAAATGCCTTTGAGAATATCTAGCTATAAAACTATCGGGCAATATCGGCTTGTGGGAGGTAGCTATCCGTACCACTTTATTGAGTTAGCTAGCTGTATCCGGTATGATAGCTAGCGGCTAGATATCGTACCCAATATATCGGTTTGACGACAAACATCTATCAGAGTAGCTATTTAGTCGATATATTGATTAATTATCGTCCGGTATGTGACGAACAGTGTGTGACGCCGCTTTGCTACTATCTATGAATTTATATATATTGACCAATTATTGTCCGATATATTGATTCAAGTATTCATAGCATGAAGGATATTGCATCTCGGAATAGCGACATCCTGCTTTCTGTAATATATTTACAGAAAGCAATATTCCTCAGTATATTGGTCTATTATCGCTTAATATATTGACTTGATATGACTAAATACTTTGTAAATTTGTGAAGTATATGTTTTACATATATAGTACAGTGGCTGCAAAACAAAAAGGTGAGGAATCCAATCGTCGATATATCAAGTAATATATTGAGCTAGCTAGCTATATCTAGTAATGTATCTTGCTATATATCGCCCAATATTAAATAACCTAATTCGAATTGCGAGCTAGCTATATCGGGTAGTATATTGAGTTCGCTAGCTAAATCGCCCGATATTCGATATTTTTTTCTGCTTGGGATAATACATACTTCAGTAAGAATAATAGGACTAAAGTCACCTTTTTAAAAAGGTGACTTTAGTCCTATTATTCTTATTAAAAATTTTCACCTTACGAAATAATTCTTCAGCATACTTCAGTGTAGCGGATTTGATCCGACTTCATTTAGAGCGATAGCTTCCGGTCCATATTAAGAAAGTTCTCTTATGCTCGTCTTCCGCTGTAGAAACGGTTAGCACAGCGGTACGGTGCTAAAGGCTGCGATATATACAAACGTAAGGTGCCAATAACGCAAAAGAAAGCAAAGCATTATTTCGTTCTTTTGATATGGTTTGATAGAGTTCATGAAGCCCTTCCTCCGGGTCAGAAATCTATCTCAGCCCAGGTAGGTCTGATCTGAAGCAAACTTTCAGGAAATGTTGACCATGTCAAAGTGTGGTAACGAAATTGCTTTTTTGGCGTCACTAGCAACTGTTCGTGAGAGGGCGCCACAACAAGGGTCGAAAATAGGCGTCTGCCATTCACAAGAATTTTCATTCCAGGTAAATGATAGAGAGCTCGGGCTGATTTTGTTTTGCAGTAAACATCTATACCTAGAAGTTGATAGAGCCCGATTTCTGAATTTCTGATTTGCTGATTTCTGGTGCTTAACAAAACTTCAAAGTCCGAAAAATCCTTACAAAGTTTCTTAGAAATCCACATTTCTATAAAAAACAGAATCATAATTTAAAAATAGGACTCTGTCAACTCCTAGCTATAGGTGTTACCTACAAATCAAAAACAAAGAAAAACCTCCTTCGATGTATCGTTACGGAAAATTCCTGTACGTAGTGAAAGCCCTGAAGCTAGAAAACAGTGTTAAGAAAAACGCAGAATAAGTTTTGATTCTGTTAAATGCCTTTTACTTAATACGGTTTGAGCGTTAAATAATTTATCGATATTTTGCTAGAGGTAATCAATCATGGCGGATCTAATGAACATGTGCGCGGCCATGTGCGGCACGTGTGTGCGCTTATGCAATAAAAGTGCAAAAAAGCCAAAGTTTTTTGCTATGGGGCTTCTGGAAAACTGGGTCAAAAGCTGTGAAAAATCTATCCTATCGACAGAAAAATTGTGTCATTAGAGAGTAGGCACTTTGCACTATCTAACCATGTGCTTTTCTCAGAATCAATATTATTGTCGAAAAACGGCATTTCTGACCCTGGGGGGAGGGGCTTAAGCTGCATAGGACAAAGTCAATTTAGAACATCTGAAACCCATCGTTAGATGAAAATTTAAAATATTACTTGCTTTTTGAAAGGGTAAAAACGAGAAATTTTCAAAAAACAAGCTAAATTTAGAATATACATTAGAACCCTGTTCAATAATGCAACTTTCATCGTATTATTTGTTTTCCCAGCTGTTCCTTACATACTATATATGATTGTCATCTTTGAACCCATCCAATCTACTTCAGAATGTCAGGACATACTCTATTTTTTAATTTGTGATGAAAATAGTCTGAAATTGGTTATTTCACCTAGTATAGATTTTCACTTTGTTCTTGCATTTTGTTCTGAAAACTAAAATTGCCGCAATGATCAGCATGGTCGAAAATCTATGAATCAATGGTTTTTGACCATATACCGTACCCAGAAGCATAGGTTCCGGGTTCAAAACCTATTTTTCGGTGATTTCGGTGCCACTATATACACTGTATTTTGAAATGGATAATGGTTCAAGCTAGATAAGTGAACCTGTTACACTAGACGAAAGCACCCGCTTTACTATTATTTGTCATGCCTGGGGATATCAGATCAAGAAATTTTCAAATTGTTTCGTAGGAGAACAAGAAGTCGTCCATATATCATCCTAAAATACACACAAGCAGATACATCAAAACAGTTATTTTTATTGTTTTCTTCTATGAGATTGTTTAAGACAGGATTTGCCAGGGTAACGAAAAAGCGGTCAGTTGAAAATTTACAACCTATACTTTTTAAAAGGGTATCCAACTTTGACGTGATGGGTGTATCCGTTCGATGTAAAAGAGCTTCCTGGGTGGAACGGCTGTCGGGAAATAGCGATCTTTTAGCTTCGAATTGATTCAAGTTAGAGAGAGTCCATAAAGCTTCATCAGTCTCTGTAGCTATCAGACGATTGTTATAAATACGATAAAAGGTTCGTGCAGCCATGGAGGTAATAAATTTATACTTTTCTTGGCGAAGAATGCATCTATATCAAAAACGTCTTTAACTGGCAAGGTTTTCATATAACACTTAGATATAGGTGCCGGCAATGCGAAATTCAAGTAAAAATTTTTTTTGCCGTTTTTTTACATCATTTGATAGAGTGAGACTTGCTGATCACGAAAAACAACTTTTTACCTTACACAAATATCTTTTTCAGGTCGG